CCATCCGCTTCTCGCCAGCCCCGCCCTCTTGTTTCCGGCCCATCCGCCTCCCCCAAGCCCAGCCCTCCTGCTCCCAGCCCATCGGCTCCTCGCCAGTCCGGCTCTCTTGTTCTCAGCCCATCCGTTCCCCGCCGTCCCAGCTCCCTTGTTCCCCGCCTGCCCAAATACCTCGTTCCCCGCCAGCCCAGCTCCCTTGTTCCCCGCCAGCCCAGCTCCCTTGTCCACCGCCTGCCCAGATACCTTGTTCCTCGCCTTCCCACTGCTCGCCAACAAAGCTCCCTCGATCCCCGCTCACCAGCTTCCCACCAATCCAGCTCCCTCGATCCCCGCCAGCCAGACTCCCTCGATCCCCGCCAGCTAAGCCCCCACGATCACTGTCCACCAGCTCCCCGCTGTTCTGCATCTGACGGTGACGTCACCTACTTGAGAGATGCACAGGGATGCTACAAGAGAATAAACGTTTGCAAGTGACGAATGTGGTTGTTGCAGAACATATGTGTATCATGATGCTACTGGCGTGCGCCTGGGACCGCCCTGCTCGCGCCGCCAGTGCTGCTGCACCTTGGTACGCCGCTGCCCCGACTGGCGGTGTACCGCCTGGGGCGCCGCCCGCCGGGGTCGGCGCCGCCCGCTCGCCTCGCGGGTTAATACAGTTGCCGTCTCGCAGCGCTCGTATCTGGTTTGGACAGACAGAACACGTAAGACCTGAATAATATGTATAGTGCAATTCCTAACCCAACTTCCTCGATCCCTGTCCACCAGCTCCCCGCTGTTCTGCACCTGACGGTGACGTCCCCTTCTTGAGAGATGCATAGCGACGCTACAAGAAAATAAAACTTTGCAAGTGACTAGTGTGGTTGCTGCAGAACATATGTATAGTGCAATGCCTAACCCAGCTTCATCGATCCCTGTTCGCCAGCTCCCCACCGTTCTGCATCTGACGATGATGTCGCCTACTTGAGAGATGCACGGGGATGCTACAAGAGAATACAAGTTTGTAAGTAACCAGTGTGCACGTTGTACTGCATATGCAGTGCGCAATCTTGAAAGGGCGAAGTCTGTCTTCCAATCGCGAAAATCCCTCCTGATGATCAGCTGGATAAAGAGGAACCAAGGCTGACACTATGCGTAGACCGCGCGACGTGCATATTCGCTTTGGAGACGACTCAACTTAAGTTGTTACACGCATTCTTCGAGCTTGTTGCGTACTGGAACTTGCTTACAGCATGCCGCCCAATTTTCTTGTCCCCATCATTCTCTTAACGCAGTACATGGTCACAATTAGCCCTGAATTAGACAGATCTGAGTTGACCCCAAGTTTAGACATCCTGTTATCAAACGGTCAGAACGTGCGCACGCTACGCAACTCGCGGTGAACATATCGGAAAACCGCAGACTCACAAGCGTCCGCACCGACGGACCAACGTTCGCTTCGATCCCCCATAAACAGCGCTTTTCGCGGCGAAGACGATGGATGAGGCAAGGCGGGGGCTCGACTGCCCCGGCCATTCACGTCAGTTGACTTCGACCTTATTGCGGTGTATGTAAAGCAACTAGGTGCACGCGTTTGTCCCACCTCCACGAAGATAACGCCGCCACCGGTTCGTGGTGGGAACAGCGTGAGATACGGTTCGCCCTCCATTGGGGCCAGCACCGATCACGTACCGACGGCATACGTTCAGGAAGTACGTTTTAAGGACACCAGTTCCCGCTGTGCGGCTACTCACGCAAATTGGAGAGCCCAGGCGAAGCGGCTTCGTAAAGAAACGATAGCCGTGAAAGAGCTTTCGTTTAAGAACATCGTGGAAAGAGCCGCGTTGCCAGCTACCCACTGGCGGCCGGAATGGCTGAATGATGGCTGAATACAGTGGCTTATTTCGTAGATATGAGGCCAAGAGAAATAGCCAATCGCCTGGACTTGCTTGATTCAGGCCTCGCTTGCACTGAACCCAACGCTGGCCACGAGTATCACCTGTACCCAGCACGCCGAATTCGGCCAGATTTTGCTCACTCAGATCCATGACTCCCATCGTCCTCAGGATCCAATTTTGCCCTGGGCAACTCAGCATGGAAGCATCATTCAGCATCTCGAAGTCAATTTTCTCAATGGAGTGTACTAGGTTTAATGTTCAGCATTCGTGGAAAGTGGGTGTGCACACACGGACCCCCGATACTTCGCCTATACCGCTTACGAACTCTAGCGGAGGTACATTTGTCAAACCAACTTCATCCATTACGAACATTTGCTTATACGTAATCAGTATCAAAGAGTTGCGTACATGCCCAATGCATAGAAACTTGAGAAAACTTGTGCCAATAACTACATTTTTCATGCGTATTCAATACCGCGCATCGGCTCACGGAAAATTGCGTAAGAAATTTTGCGTAGATACTTCTGCCAAGGAATTCCATACCACGTGTGCGCTTGCTTACCGGCCATGGCGTACTTAGGTATGCATGTCCACTTCTGTCTTTAAACCACGTCGGTGACAGGAAACAGTTTTGGGTTGCTGAAATGCCGACCCTACTTCTAAGCGATCCCAACTTTCGATAATTCAGTTATTAAAGTCGTTAAAATATATGTTCGTCTCCCTATAAAATTTTAGAACTTCATTCACATGCCGCATAAAGCAAAAGCGGATGGTCGTTATTTTTGTTCATAGGCCCAGCCTCAGGCTCAGCAATAATATTGGGCAGCTTTTTTCCGTCGTACGACGTTATCCCTGGAAACATATTAACAATGAGGTGCACACTGCTGATAGTAAATTCGCTTAAAAGGGCGGAGGTTACAGGGCGAGAATATGACTGCACCAAAAACCACGATTCATTGGATTGCAACGCTGATTCAATGCTGGAATCAAGCATCCCGCCGCTATCAACCCAGAGTTAACTCACAGATCCATGCTTTTGTCCCAGTGCTTGGAGGGTCGCCACGAACGCAGAAAGCGACGTTCCAGGTGAGTGGAACTTCAGATTCTGCCGCGTGATGAAAACCTCCTCGTGAAACACGATCGACATGTTCACCGGAGAGGCTGTATAAATACCACACCGCACGATGTCCATGTTCGTGACTTCCCAGCACATCTTCCACGGTGGACAAATTCAGGTGGGGAGCCACAACTAGAAACGACCTGAGAACAAAAAGGTTTAACATGAAGTCTCCGCTAGTTTTATTTCAAAGACCTTCAACATCAGTTCAAGACAGCTGATGTCATGTCACCGCAGCTTAATTCGGCATTTAAAGCATAAGGTTCTATCTGATGGGTGTACTGCAATCAGTTAATGCATAGGTCATCTGGGACGTGATGTTTGGGGGGACGCAATGACGCTTCGCGCCCGCGCCCGGAATACCCGCTGGGAACTAATGATAGGCTGTGTTAAAACACACGTGTTGCACATGATGCAAGGTCGGTTATAGGTTCGCGGGAACATGCTGACACCTTATTTTAACACATTGCGATACGGACAAGACATGGACAGTCATAGCTCACGAATCGTACCATACATTTACCCGTCAAACTCGGGGCGCTGTGTCCTTTATGACGGCTAGCTATGCTCTATGGTAGTCATGTGCAGAAATGGTCACTTAAAGAGGATTCGGCCAGCCAAAAAAAAAGAAGAAAAACCCTACAAGAATAAGAGTAGGCAAAGTCACCAGGCGACCTTGCTCATTTCAACACACCCATCAGAAATAGGTTCTACTAAAGCATGATAAAAATTTTTTTCGGATACGATACAGTTTGAAAGGAACTACAAGAACGTATCGCGAAAAATAAGAAGATTCAATTTTCTCTCGCACACCATTCACGAACGGTCATTTTACGCCTCAGCTACTCGCGCAGTGCCGAATGCTCCACTTCTGTATGGATCAGTCTCACAAATTTGCTCATGTCAAACAGTCTACTCATCTAACTTTAACTGAGTAGAAAGCTGTGGATATAACAGCAGTTCTCCCATCGCTAAACATTCGGGACAACGATTAAAATGGACACTTTTGTGTTCAGCAGTTGGCCGAAATGCCATGGTTTCAAGGGAATGTTTCACATTTGAAGATCATGAAGCAAGCATCAGGTATGATGAAATAAGGTCACTTGGAACTAGTGGCATCCTTTTCAGTGAAAAAGGCTGCTACAGCCAATACATTTACTGCTTAGTACATATGCTGCTGATCGCCGCATCACCAATGGAATGGCAGGGTTTGAATGATGTCATTGTGACACCATGGATGTCTAGGTGACTCTGAAATTGTTTTCCCGAAAAAGTTTTCACGTCTTAGCCGGCGTGCAGCTCAGAAACTAAAAACGGTGTAAGAAGATTAAGAAGGTTAAGCATTAAAAACGCTAATTAGGAATTAAGCCTTAAGTAGGTCAGGGCTGTGAACTGCACCACAGGATATTCAAGACTACATTCCAGTTCAAAACCCCACACAGATGTGAATCACCCTCTTCAAATGCTTTTGCTCAATTGCAAGATTTAGAAGAAGATTAAGAATTAAGGTTTCAGAAAGTCTTAAGGACGGCAGGACTGTGAACTGCACTGAAGGATATTCCACATGGTTATTTCAGTTCAAAACCCACAAACAAATGTGAATCACTTCACTCAAATGCTACCGTAATGAAAGCACCACTATGTTGTACTTGTTTTTCATTGAACCAGCGGCAAACCTACAATTTGCAAAATATCACTAACGACATAGGAAAATCTGGCGCATGGAGTCAATCAAAAAGTACCACAGAGGCATTCCACACATTCTGGACGTGGGAAGTCCCGATAACAAACTTATCCATAGGCCCCATCAGCTTCGCAGTCCGTCCTCACAAGATAAATGAGTGCTACTACACGGCTTTTCCCGGAGTCCAGCGAAAACGGCGCTTAGGGCGCTGTGCAATGTGACATACCCGACCACAGATATTACGCTTCATGTTTCCGCGGGCCGCGCACAATCGTGGCAGCTTATTAAGCACTTTCACGAGAAACTGCCCACAAAAACTCACCACGCATGGCAATGGCCAACACCTCGACCGATGAGGGGCGCGTCTTGCACTCAGCTGAACATGAACAGGCTTCACAGGCCTTCTTGCGCGCATGCAGCGGCAGAACCGGATCTGAAAGACACCACACGATGAATTATTTGATTTGTGGATTTATATTTCTACGAAATAACGGTAACATTCTATGGACACATCTCAAGGACAGTGACAGAATTTGAGCGCTTCTCGAGCCTGTAAAACGCACCTGTTGCTACCCAATTGCACCTAACCAGTTACTAGAGCGAGCGAGACACACATGTGATGAAAACTTTCCTGCTGGGAAACACAAAACCGTCATAAACGGGTCCATAAAGAAATCAAGATCTACAATCATCTGTACCGTGTTCTCAAATCTAGTGGAGGCAACAGGGATGCCTTACGGGGTCCACAATACTGCTAATACACATGGACATAGCCCACATCTTGTGCGACGTGGGCTGGGCGCTTGGATAACATATGCGAGTTAACAGCTGTAATCACACACGTGGCCCCGGACACCACCGGCACACAACACCAATTGATTTGATCAGCGTATTGGCGTGTCTACCTAATTGAACACGTGAAGGTCTGCTGATGTAGCTTTAGCGCGCTTATGCACGATGGTTTTGCCTGAAAATGTTCCGCTCTAGGGTCTGGTTACGCTTGGCAATTATAATCGACAATGACTAATTCGCACTGACGTGAGTTCTAGACAGTTATGACCGAAGTACCGCAGGTATTTCTGGTGTATATGCGTCATACAAGTGACTATATGTTGGTTTTCATTGAACAATTGTTATCTACTGGGACAAAGCGTCACGTATCCTGTATGGATTTGGTTAAGAAGGTGTCATCTGCCGCTATTCGGTCCATTACTGACGCGCATAGGAGTCAAGACAGCTTTGAGATCAGTTAGCGAATTGATCTGGTGCATATGCCCACATTGCGTTGATGGTTTTATTCTTTTCTTAGTTCGGGTAAATAATGCTTCAAAATGCCGAAAAACAGACAGATATATGACTTGCACACGACTTTGCGTGTTAGTCTACGCACAAGGACCAACACTTTTATCAGTGCAAATGGCCGTTTTCGTCCCCGCTCGTTATTGTTCATGTCGCTACGCCGCATTGCCCAGATCCAGATTTGGCTTTGACTTTTGCTTTAACTTCTTACACAATACAAATTACCACCTGCATGTTAATCGGATGGAGGAGGTAAACTTTTGGTCCTGTTACGATGTTGTAGCCAACAGCACGCCAGATGAAATGCTTGGAGCGCAGATGACTAACAATCTATGAACCACAAACTTGACAGCATTGCCCTTGTTGCTGAAGATGATGTGAGCCTGCGTTCACTGGCTGCATAACAACTCCCAAACACACGACAACCAGGATGGGCCGGGCCTTTTCAAATGGAAATTTCACAAATTAAGCACAATTTAAGCTTACTGGTCCCCGAACCCTGTTCAAAATTCTTGAAAAATAGCCCACATACCATAATGTATACTGGACATAGGCGGTGGTAAAAATGATAAATACCAATCCAAAATAATTCTACCCATTTCAGTAAGATAATCATTCTTAAGACACTCACCGAACTGGATGAACCCTCCCGCTGATGTAACAGAAGTACCTGTAGCCAAAGGCTGCATAAACCCAGACGCCCACTGCTGTCTGGCGTGGAATGGCCGCATGGTGTGCTCTTCAACATCACAATGGTGGCACAGTGCCGCCCCCGGGCAGTTCCCGCAGCTTACACTCGCAAGACTCTCGCAAAGCGAGCAAGTCAATCCTGAAACAACAACAGTATCTTAAAAGCACTTAAAAATGCGGCGTTACATAACAAAAGCCAGATAAACATAGCGAAATTCACTTGTTCGGTTTTAAATCCTCCGGAACAATAACCGATTCAAGGGCCGCTGGCTCGACATACGAACAACCACGTACATAAGGTCATCTGGCTGGGTGGCTGCTATCCTCTTAAAATACCTTCTTTACCCGGGCACCAGGGTAATCCGACTAAAGCTTCATGCCAACAGCGTAGATAACACAATGTCCCCCCCCCCTCCCCCAAAGAATAAACACTATGGTGAAAACATGGATAACATAATGCTCCCCCAAGACTAAGGAAACATTTTGGTGTTTAAGGATTTCAATCATGCCACATATTGGGCGTGCAAGCATATAGGAAACGAAATGCATTAAAATTCGTCTTTACTCATGCAGCTGGCCAGGAAAAACTGACTGAATGACCGGCAGAGGACCGGACTGACACACATAGACGCCCGCGTGGTGGCGAGACCACGCCAACGAAATGAACAGAACAGCACACAGTAAGCCGGCATTTCACAAAAGGCTGTACGCCGGCGGATTACGCCCGGTCCTAAATGCCCTAAGAAGCCCGCCTCTCACATGCAACGAACTGCTGCTGGTGGCTTACTAAACTAATTGTGTCATGCCTTCGCACATCACCCGGACTCGGCACAGCACGAGCAGCTACGGCATCATCAAATAGCCCCCTCCTGACTTCCTCCCAATGTTTGGCCTCCGTCTCTTGGCGCTATGCCTACGTCGGTCGATCCGGATCTTCGGAGTTATCCAGCTCTGGAATGCCAATTACCACGTGATTGGCACACGTGGGCACACCTGCCCATCACTTTCACTTGCTGCAACTAGCTTCGCCCCACTTTCCTCTCTGTAACTCCTGGTATGTGTGCTCACACAGGTTGCAAAAGATTCCCTTACACCCTTGACTACATTCCAGATTCCATGACATTATGTGGTTGTGAGATACCGAGTTTCTTGGGAAGGGGAAGGGGACACTGCATAGATGTGTCTGTTCAGAAATGAGACTTTGACAGACAATGTAAAAACATGGTGGATGCAAGCCTATTAACAAGGCAAGCATCAATACAAATTAAGGAGCTTTGCCCTCGCAGCAAGCTTCACGGACCATCTCAGGTGAGGGAAAGTCTTGATTAGAAACCCTTGAGTTGTTTCCTATGCAAATGCATAGCCATACAAAATGATGCAAGAGTGGGTAATGGCCAGTCTGCATACCCAGAAAACTAGTGATAAAGGGCTTCTCCTGCATTCCCCAGACGCCAGCTTCCATGTGGTGCTCAGCCCTCCTACCAGGGTCAAAGACACATGACTCCACATGGCCTCAACAGCTGAATGCTCCATAAAGCCCAAAGCTGATGAAACTGACAATGTTGACTGCATCTCCCTTAGCACATACCTGCTCCATGTTCTGACCCAAAAGTGGGCATGTGAGACTTTGCTGATGATTGGCTGGGACAACTGTGTTTAGCTGAAAAGAATATGCTGGATGAAATGAGTGCTACCTATTTTTTACCAATCATCCACAACACAAAAATTAAAACCCAAGCTATCCATATACATCCTATTGATCCAAATGTCCCAAATGACATGAAAAATACATAAAATAGCAGCAGACACAGCTTAATACAAGTGAAAAACCAACAATGCTAACAACTGTGCCAAGTGCATGCAAACACACATCTGTGTATGGACACATCACAGTACCACACCAACATAAATAGGCCCCCAGAGACACCTCCAAAATAAACACACATGTGCAATAACATCTCCCCCTCATAGATATCATGTTGAGCCAATTTCCATTTCAATTTGCCATATGAACATGTATAAATGGAGTAAAAATAAGTGAAACTTGCTGCCTCACACATTTTTGCAACACAAATTTGTGCGCTGCTCTTACTACATGTGCCACCTTAGGTCATGCCATATAAGATCTGTTTTGATCCATTCATGCATACCCTTAACTACAATCAAAAACTTTTTAATCATAACACACAGTATTGCAAACATAGAGCTGAAAGTACTTCAAATTCACATCAGCACAATTACCGGATCTGGATGAGATGCACCATGGATCAAAATTAACAGTTAAAGATCTAATGAAAAAACCTTGATTGTATTACACTCACTGCAAATGCATTGCAGTGTATAAAACAATTTTACCTTGAAGCCTTTGAAGTAATAATAATAAACAATGCCTCGCACACAAGTCACAAAAAAGGAAAGTTAGGAATCACATGCCCTGCAAATGCCAGGTCACACAAACCTTTTCTACGGCATTTGCCCTGCTTCTTGTCTTGTTTGCCTTTTCCTTTGCTCTGAAGGGGTTCATAAGCGTCTGGACAGACGCAGTTTTCTTACAACAAAAACGCAGCAAAACTCGATGCCTTTGATTCTACATTGATTGAAAACGTGTTGCTTGGGGTAATTTTGGGGCTCATTACCCTGGCTAGAGGCATTACGCTGTTGGTTGCCTGGCCCTATATGTCCACTTGCCGGGTCAACATGATCGCTAAGGAGCTTTCCACGTTGCCTTTGACCTCTTTGCATTTTTTGGGAGGGCCTAATGTATCGTTGGGAAGCTATCTAGCTCCATACTTGAGCATTGTTGATCGATCAGGTTTTCCTCCACAGATTCTATCCATTTGCCCAAAAGGCTCTACGCGCTTTTTGCGGGGCCTCATATGCTAGGGTACACTCAGCTGCTCAGGGCCCTCCATATAGGTCTTGGATTCTTTCCACTTGCTTGAAGAGCCTCGTGCTGTTGCTAGGGCTGTTGTAAGGTAGGGCACGGAGACACTCGATGCTCAGGGCCCTCTACTTTAATCGAGGGTTCTCTTCCTTTGGTCTCATTTGCGGAGGATTCTTCAATCCTATCGAGGCTCGTGTTGAAAACCTGCCCGTTGACTCTTAATCGCACAGAGGTATTAATTCATGGTCTTGGATAGTTCCCCTTTGCTCAGAGGGTCCCGTGCTTTGGTCGGGATGTGTCAGCCTACCGAGGCACTGCCGATCATTTAGGGCCAAACACGCTGATGTAAGGTTTTTTTGCTTGCTCTGAGGACCCTAAACTTGTTGACGGGAGCCACTTTGTTGACCTCCGCGGCACCAGTGATTGGTCATGTTCCGTACCTATTGGCCCTGGGGCCTTCGTCTTAGAGCAGCAGTCGAATTTGCCCCGATAAATGTTTACGCAAAATTGCCGAACGCAATTTCACATACTGACGACGTAGTATGTGCTATTTGCATTGGCCATTGACTGTATGACACTTATGATCCTAGTGCATCACGTCCTTAGCATATTTTGGATGCTAACTCAACTTCTCACTCAACTTTATTTTGCCTGTTGTTCCGAAACACAAAGCCTCAGAATCAGGACATCTAACATAATCTGTTGGAAATTAGTGAGATCTGAGTACGCATGCGTAGCACACCCAGCTTTATAGGGCTGTGCACAGTAAGATGGGTTTCCGTATTTATGAAATAAGTGAATAAGTAAATGCATACATACAAATACGTAATATATACACCGATATACCTATATTCACGCATATAAATAAGCATATATATATATATATATATATATATATATATATATATATATATATATATATATATTATATATATATATATATTATATATATATATATATATATATATATATATATGTATATGTATATATATATATATATATATATTATATATCATCATATATATATATATATATTATATATATATATATATATATAATATATAGTATATATATAGTATGTGTGTGGTGTGTGTGTGTGTGTGTGTGTGTGTGTGTGTGTGTGTGTGTGTGTGTGTGTGTGTGTGTGTGTGTGTGTGTGTGTGTGTGTGTGTTACATCCCACTTTTCTTAAAGGTAGTGACCGAGATACAAGGATATTTTTGCAGGCAAGCTCCAAGGGGCCGCCTCAGTGTTGCTGCCCTTCATCCCCTCGACGAAAGCCTGGATATCCGCCCCTTAGCGTAGTCGGAGGAGTTCTTCAAGTCAGCTCAAAGCTCATGTTGGCAACGATACTGGGGGAGGTGCGCGAGGAGCGAGGAGCGAGTGAGGCAGCACCCATTCGTAACCAAGATGGGGTTACCCATTCGTAACCAAAGCGTTGACGAATCGCGTCATTAGAGCCTTCGGAATACCTTAGTGCAAGCGCAGTGACATCAGGAGAAATCTGACTGGAAACGTCATGAATTAATTCTGTCGTTTTCTTGGCATTTGTTGGCTGACCTCACGTGAGTGCCATCCACAGGAGAATCCCTGCTCAGGCCGACGGCATAATGTCCTCATCGACGTGGTGGTCAAACTCAGTGCCTACCACCCGCGATGCTGACCACATGCTCGCTCGCAGCAGCGTTGTTTTGCAACAAAAACACCAACAGGAACGCCGGTCTCTCTCCTTAGGAATGCGTGTTCGGGAATCTTCCAACCTGCAGGTGGACGCTGTGTGAGATGGGACAAAGCCTCAGAAGGTCCAGCAGTCGAAGCGTCACCGGACGTCCGCACCTACCTGCCCGCGGCTCGCAGCGTACTCCTCAGGCCGCCGCGAGATGGCTTTCGACGATAGCGTCGCAGCACAACGAAAGAGAAGAATAGTTCACGAAAGAGTTGAGCAGTTCACGAAAGAGTAGACCAGTTCACGAAGGAGTAGCACAGTTCACGAAAGAGTAGAGCTGTTCACGGAAGAGTACAGCAATTCACGAAACAGTGGAGCAGTTCACAAAACAGTAGAGCAGTTAGCGAAAGAGAAGTGCAGTTCACGAAAGAGTAGAGCAGTTCACGGAAGAGTAGAGCAGTCCACGAAAGAGTAGAGCAGTTCGCGAAGAAGTAGAATTCTTCACAAAAGGGTGGAGCAGCTCGCGATTAGATATATCAAGAGTACGGCGATTCACGAAAGTGTAGAGCAGCTCACGAAAGAGTAGAGCAGTTCGCGAAAAAATACAGCTCTTCACAAAACGGTAGGGCAGTCCACGAAAGAGTAGAGCAGTTCACGAAAGCGTAGAGCAGCTCACGAAAGAGTAGAGCAGTTCACGAAAGAGCACGGCAATTCACGAAAGAGTAGAGCAGTTCACGAAACAGTAGGGTAGTTAGCGAAACGGAAGAGCAGTTCGAAAAGAGTAGAGCAGTTCACGAAAGAGTAGAGCGGTTCATTGAACAGTAGAGCAGTTCACAGAAGAGTAGAGCAGTTCACGGAAGAGCAGAGCAGGCCCGCGGCCAGGTCGGTCCGCGAGGGCGCTGGTGTCGGGGAGCGTGCGTCGGGCCGTGGCATTAGAATGCCAGCTTCGAGAACTGACAATGACAAATGACAGCTTCGAGAGCAGGCAGTGTCACGCGAGCTTCGGCTGCTCAAGAATCCTTCTGGCGCCGCGTACTGAAGCTCACCATGTTCAAATTCGATGACTGCGCGCAGAAGAGGCGAATCACATGCCTCTGCATGTCCGACATGCCTTTGAGAGGCAAAAAGTATGCCCTTAAAAATGCTTTCTGGCCGTATAGACCGCTGTTTTCGTACAGCATGGCTATATTACATCAAAGAATGTGTGATGCAAAGTTTTGTATTCAGTATGCGTTTTTTATCCGGCATGCAGTTTTACATATTATTAGGGTCATGTTATACACTGTTTGAGTCGACTCAATGATGGCTCACACCAACTAAAAAAAAAACATGGTCGACTCAATTCCTCGTCCAACTTAGGCACCGCCGGCCCGGAATTGTGGGGCGTCCCCTGCTAAGCCTGGTTTTGTGTGCTATGAAATTCAGCTCCAAGTTATTCTTGAGTCGAAGACAAGTCTGATTGATGTGGGTATGAATGGGGACTTCAGGCATGACGGCTGGAGGCCAAGAAATACTAACCGACTACATAGGGCTTCCCGTTGCCTCTTCTTAAATGTAAAGATATGACATCAAAAAATAGCAAACGCTCGGGAGATGGGCAAGCAGCACATCTCTTCCCTCAAACGCACATACACACCGAACGGAAGGGCCTGAATTGAGAGGACCAGAGCCTTTCGGCGCAGAATCGATTGTATACAGATCACGCCACCGGTGATGATCACGAAATCACATCGATTACACCGATCTTCATCAGCGGTTCTCGTCGGTAATTGCCTATGCCGCATCACGCTCGACGAACATGAACATCTCTTACACACCGATCACACTGACGACTGGTGGGGGGTGCGCCCACGGTGAGGGGGGGGGGGGGTAGGTGATAGGCCACACCCATCCATCACAGTCCTGACAGCGCCGCGTGCGCGCCAGGCGGACAGAGGCGACACCAGCGCCCCCTCCGTCGACGGCTGGCCCGCGGTGTGCCTGCCACCTGGCGCCCCCACATACACACACAGCACTCACCAGACCTAAAGACATTCATTAGACCTAACGGCACTCACTAGACCTAACGGCACTCATCAGACCTAGCGGCACTCACTAGATCTAACGGCATTCATTAGACCTAACGGCACTCACTAGACCTAATGGCACTCATCAGATCTAACGGCACACATTAGACTTAACGACACTCATTAGACCTAACTCTCGAGTTCCGATCCACCCTCCTTCAGCGGGTGCCGTCGGCGACGGCGCCCCACTCGAGCCGTGTCACCTCCCCGCGCCCTCCTCCTCCTGTCGTGTTCCGCCCGGCCGGCGGCACCTCGTCACCAGCGCGGATCGGGCCCGGCCGGCGGTGCTCCGTTACCAGCGCGGATCGGGCCCGGCCGGCGGTGCTCCGTCACCAGCGAGGATCGAGCCTGGCCGGCGGCGTCTGGTCGCCAGCGGGGATCGAGCCTGGCCGGCGGCGCCCGCTCTCCAGCGGGGATCGAGCCCGGCCGGCGGCGCCCGCTCTCCAGCGGGGATCGAGCCCGGCCGGCGGCGCCCGCTCTCCAGCGGGGATCGAGCCCGGCCGGCGGCTAGCTAATCTGACAGACGCAACAGTGCGGTATCCAGTAAAGGTCGGTGTAGACTTGCGAGCCACTTGGGTCAAGGCCCACCATCTTCTTCTGCACGTACTGCTGCTGGCACGTGGCCGCCATGCCCGCAGGAACTGTGCAAAGACCCAAGCAGCGGTCCGATCTGGGGTAACAGCAGAGGTCATCAAAGATGGTACCGGACGGGCCAGAGGTCACCACAGACGTCACCGGACGAGGGGGTGGCCGGGAGCGGTCACACCTGACCTCAATGGACAAGGGGTGGCTGGGAGTGGTCACAACTGACCGCAACGGACAAGAGGGGGCATGGAGAGGTCATTGGACAAGGTGGGTGGCAGGGAGAGGTCACCACAGACGTCACAGAACAAGGCATGTGATACAGATGGGTGGCCCGTGATCTTCACGAGAGTTAACGCTCTTGGCCCGGCACTATGCATACGTCCTGGAAAAATATCGGATCTTATTAGATGCCATGGATGCTTTCTTCACAACATTGACTCGATAAATGCCACTAAGGTTTGATCAAATTGTTAACAAATCATAGGCACAAGCGAACGATTTAAACTAACACTGATGAACTCGCTGTAGCCTAGTGTTACATACTGGATCGCCGACTATAGTTAAAAAGCGGGCTTTCTAGGGACGCCGTTCCATGTTGCGGCCAGTTCTAGTTTATAAAGACATTGTCATACGTAGCAGAAAGATAAACACTATAAGCTCTCACCGAACACAAAAATAGTACGTAAATTTATTTTGAAAAGGCTAACTCTTTCAAGACATAGTACCGGTTTTCTGCCTCCTGCCACATCTTCGCCTGCCCCAGATATCTCAGAATTACAGGTGCAATGTGTCATCACCAGAGGCCTGTGTCGTTACCATGGCGTTGAACCTGAGGCTTTAATATAATGAGGTAAGGGAGAATCGTGGGTCTTCTTCAACGTATAGATAAGGACTCCTTGGACAAATATAATACCATCGGTAGGCCGGCGTTATGACCATCGGTAGGCTGGCGTTATGACTATCGATAGGCCGGTGTTATGACTATTGGCAGGCCGGCGCTATGACCATCGGTAGGCCGACGTTATGATAATCGGTAGGCCGGCGTTATGACCATCGGTAGGCCGGCGTTATGACCATCGGTAGGCCGGCGTTATGATCATCGGTAGGCCGGCGTTGTTTTCCCGTCACAAGGTCCATCGAGCAATGCTAAAACCACAGCAGAGAGATGATCACACAGCTGACCTACAGCGTCACGGACTTCCGACGTCATTGTAGCGTCATACCTCAGAGGCGTGTCGCCATTGGTCGGTCGGCCCGGCCGGTGGACTCACATGCAGCGCTCGGCGCGAACCAGCTGAGTGTAGCGCACGTCTAGCTCTTCCATGTTGACGACGAACCTCCACTCGCCGCGGTTGTTAAGCCCCGCCTTTGGCGTGACGAACTGGCCTGAGAACCAATCAGAGGGCATGGCAGATGGTCCGAATTTGTCGTGTTTTGAGCTTTGCTCATGAGGAGCTACTCTCGAAGACGAGCGCTACGTCATTTGACGTCTTACCCACCCATGATCTTGGGTTCATGGAATACATTGTTATGCAGTGGCAGATCCAGAGGGGAGGGGGCGCGGGGCCATGCCCCTTTGGGCCCGAAGGAGCCCGTCGACTCCAAAGGAGCCCGTAGCCAACCGTGCAAACGTAGTTTTTTTTTTAGAACAAAGCACAATCAAATTGGACGTGTTTGGCCTCCAGACGACCAAGAATGGTCGCAAGCAAAAGTGAAGGGCCCGTGAACAGACAAAAATAGTTATTCGCTGATTGAAAGGGTGGTTATTTAGAGATGTTGTGGGTCTCATTAGATTGTCCAGAGGCCTTGCACTGTTCCCGGGGCCCTGGTGTTCACTCGCCAGGTCAATCCGATCGTTAAGGAGCCTTCCATGTTGCCCTTGATCTCTTTGCATTTGGTCGGAGAGCCCCACGCTGCTGTTGGGCCCTACTAGCTAACACGCCGGGGCACTCTTGATTTATCAGGGCCATTGTGTAGGGACACTGTGCTCCTCTCGTCTGCTCGGAGGGTCCTGCACTCTGGCCGGGGCTCTAGCCAGGGGCAACATGCTATGGCAACGCGGCAACACGCCGGACGCTCCCGATCGTTCAGGAGTCCATCACATTGGTGTTGGGTCCTTTTCGCTTGCCCTGTGTAATGGTGGAGGCAAGGAGCACAAGGGTACGTGTCCCTGAGGGGCCCCGAGAGCCCTGGGGCCCTTTGCGCCGATCGGGGGCCCCCTGGGTCGATGAGGGCCTAGATGATGGTCAGACACCATCAGTGCCGCACAGTTGGCTCCGTGTCGGTATGGGTCTGAGGGCACATTTCCCAAGCAGGGGCCACGCCTGTGTTGGCAAGGGGGCCCGAATCGGTGAGAGGCAGTGTTCGAGGATGCCCGAAGAGAGACCGGACGGCCCGCTGGAACCGACGATCAATAGTCCGATTGAAGGGCCTAAGGGTAGGAATAGATGGCTGGGGTCATATTTAGGAGCCCTGGCCCATGGGAGTGGGCCCTCAAATGACAGTCAGAGGGCTTCTTGCACCAGTTGAGGACTCCAGAGACAATGCAGGATTCTATGCCGGCCAGAAGCTACCGACACCGAACAGTCGGCTCCGTGCCGGTCTGGGGCTTGGGGGCCCATTTCTCAAACAACAGCAAGGCCGCAACCCGCGAACTGCAACAGTCTGGATCCCTGAAACAATGAGGGCCTCTGTGCCGGCCAGAGGTCAGGGGTCATGTGTCGGCAGGTGACTGCGAGTCGGTCACGGGCCTTGTTTGAGAAGGCCCGAAGAGGGACCGACGAACACTCAGGACCATAGACCTAGGGCCAAATTGGAAGGCTGAAGAGCCTGAAGGGCCCGAACGACTGGGATCTGCATTTCAATCATGGGACCACCTGCGGCGATCAGGGATCTTTTTGCGTCAATGTGGGTTCCTGCGTCAGTATCCAACTACGCGGGTTAGGAGGCATCAGGGGGGGAACCTAGATCATATGATGCATTCCCATAAGGGCCTCTGGATCGACCATGGGACAGCCCCGCCTATATATATATAGATAGATAGATAAATAGATAGATAGATAGATAGATAGATAGATAGATAGATAGATAGTAGAGAGAGATAGAGAGAGAGAGAGAGAAGAGAGAGAGAGACGAAGGAGTAGAGAGCGAGAGAGAGATAAGAGAGAGAGAGAGAGAGAGAGAGAGAGAGAGAGAGAGAGAGAGATAGAGAGAGAGAGAGAGGAGAGAGGAAGAGAGAGAGAGAGAGAGAGAAGAGAGAGAAGAGGAGAGAGAGCGAGAGAGAGAGAGAGGAGAGAGAGAAGAGAGAGAGAGAGAGAGAGAGAGAGAGAGAGAGAGAGAGAGAGAGAGAGAGAGCGAGAGAGAGAGAGAGAGAGAGAGGAGAGAGAGAGAGAGAGAGAGAGAGAGAGAGAGAGAGAGAGAGAGAGAGAGAGAGAGAGAGAGGAGAGAGAGAGAAGAGAAGAAGAGAGGAGAGAGAGAGAGAGAGAGAGATAGAGAGAGAGAGAGAGAGAGAGAGGAGAGAGAGAGAGAGAGAGAGAAGAGGAGAGAGAGAGAGGAGAGAGAGAGAGGAGAGAGAGAGAGAGAGAGAGAGAGAGAGGAGAGAGAGAGAGAGAGAGGAGAGAGAGCGAGAGAGAAGAGAGAGAGAGAGAGAGAGAGAGAGAGAGAGATATATATATATATATATATATATATATATATATATATTCGTGTATGTATATATGCGTTTGTAAACTTGAATATGTATTCATATATATATATATATATATATATATATATATATATATATATATATATATATATATATATATATAGTTATTCATTCATTTATGTATGTGTGTATATATGTCCTGACAAAGCGTCTGTCTCTCCTTGTCGACACAGTTATACTTGCCCTGTTGTTTTGCTTTTCTTAAGCGCTGGGTATTTGTGGAAGGATGCTTTTCAGCTGTTCCAGCTTTAGTGAGTGAGAAATGTCTGGCCGCTTCTTGCAGCTTGGTGACATTATGCGCCAGATAGTGAAAAATGGCTCCACCGGGACGTACACAAATATTGATACACCCGCTTCCCAAAATAAAGCTGAACACATCACCGATCATCATAGTACATCAAAATCAGTTAAGAGTGCGGACAATCTTTTAGGCCCCCATGATGCTATGACTAGCATACTGTACTGGTATCCTGGAGATCCAGTGTTGAGTCGCGATGAGTAGACCCAAATTTCGCACTATCTGCTGAAGAATATCGCCAAAATGCAAAAACAGGCCAGAAAATTCTAACCCATCAAAGCTGAAGTAGCTGAAAAATATAATTCAACAACCATACTTTTTCCTTTCTTTTTGATGCAAGTACATACACAAAAAAGCGCCAGTAAAGAGCATGTCATGGCGTTCGTATATTAAGCGGGCTTTATTCTATAAAACGAAAGATAGGATAGGATAGGAAAGATAGGATAGGATAGGAAAGATAAGATAGGATAGGAAAGATAGAAAACGTAGGATACCGGATGTTTGAATAACCACAACCCGTCGAGGTTATTGAGGAAAGTAGATTCAATTTCCATACGAGCGGACTAAAAACTCGTAATTGGCGTTGATCCTCCCCAGCAAGATACGGAGGCGCACAGTGTTCTTGGCATTGCACCTCGTTTCTCAAAAACACGTCAAATTGGATCGAATTGTCACATCAGCCTGATGACAGCGAATTCTGGTTCATAGACCGCAGGAGTTTGCAAATTTTGTTCAGGAAGCCTCGCCCCTCTATTTGGGAGATGAAGCTTGCATATTGTTTGTGCCTTATGGACTCGTAGAGCCGTCCGCACTGCACGTTGCTTCAATGCCGGGTGACGCCTCCCAGTTCTCAGTTCTCACACAGTTCTCTGTCTAGTTCTCAGTTCTGAGGCTCAGTTCTCAGTCAATTCTCAAACTTACTTTTCGGACTCAGTTTTCCGACTCAGTCCTTAGACTCAGTTCTCAGACTCAGTTCTTAGACTAAGTTCTCATTCGGTTTTGAGGCTCACTTCTCACACAGTTCTCAGGTTCAGTTCTCGGACTCAGTTTTCAGTTTTCAGACTAAGATCTCAGTTCAGTCGTCAGGCTCAGTTCGGGGCGAGTTACCTGAGGGAGTTACCTGAGGTGGGACAGAGTTACTTGAGTTACAGAGCGAGTTACCTGAGCGAGTTAACTGTCCAGCGAGTTACCAGAGCGAGTTACCTGAGCAAGCTACATGTTCAGCGAGTTACCAGAGCGAGTTACCTGAGCAAGTTACCTGTTCAGTGAAGTACCTGAGCGAGTTACCTGAGCGAGTTACCTGTTCAGCAAGTTACCTGAGGTGGGGCAGAGCTGAGAACCTTCGGAGGAGTCCGCTTGGCGCTTCTGGCGGGCGATGGAGAAACCGTACCTGAAACACGGTCAGTAAAAATCCCCGACGTTATGAGTCTGTTGTGTGACGCGCATACAATCTGCTCGCCCTCTCCACAACATCATGTGCGCGATGTGGACAGCTGAACGAGCCGGCGTGACATTTTACACTGTGGACCCAGGCCTTGCCGTGATGTTGAAAAGTACGATTTGTAACCTTAGAAAACGGTCATCGCCGGTGAGAACGAATAACGTTCCGCCAAGGTCAGCTGAACACCTGCAATTCTATGCATATCTACATACTACGCAATATACCAAATTCAAGTCCCTGGAATTCATGCAGAGCAAAGCACCCTTACATACGCTTTCATGTGAGCAAACATTTGTACTTGCATGCTCCATGCATATCATGTCTTTTTTGTGTACTTCGGGCGACAGGAATTTAGCTCAACTGATCATCTGACTGACATCACTGACTTGACATTGCTAGACTGCCAGGAACGATAAAACATTCGCTTGCTTACTATCGCGTATCGTTACGTTCAGGCGTGGTTACGAACCACGCAAAATTATTTTTCGAAGCATTCAAGTCTAACAGCCAGATGCCGTTGTCTTTCGGTTCTGACAATCGACACGCACGTTTTTTTCGCATCTCTGCATTAACCATATCCAAAATAGAAGCTACGTTTTTGGGGACATCACGCTAAACACAGCTTAACCAAGTGGCAAGGGTTCGCCAGGAGTAACCAGTGCGTAACCAGGGAGAGAAGAGGTTAGAAAATAGTCAAAAGTGGGTAGCAAAATTTACGGAGAACCTCTAAAGTTGCCCTTTTCTTTGTGGTACTGTAGCATCAGCAGTGACTGACGTTTCATACCCAGAATATGTGTGTAGTTGAAACCTGATCTGGGGCTTGACAACCGTAACGGCAAGCGACGTCCAACCGACCTACAAGACATCAGCTTGACGCCGTGGAGTGACGTCATCATGACTGCATTTGGGCGCACCAATTAGACAGCATTAGTGATGTAGACCTGACTCTTGTGTAAGCAGGCGCATGCAGCCATGTTCGTCCCTGTCTGGTTACCACGCCAACGTTATGGTGTAACGATTGTGTAACTGTAGTAGCTTCCAAGTGGCAAACATTCAGCTGACTTGTGCAAGAGTGCGAAGTGGTTTCGGTGCCGAGATGCTGGAATTCACCAGTCACCGGACAAATTGAATTCTAATAATTTTAGGAAGTTACCTGCCACTGAATCTGAGCTATCGGGTTTCGCTTCTCCCGTCTAGCCTAACGGACGATGCTGGCGAGACCGTCCAGCCCAACCGACAACGCCGGCGAGACCGTCCAGCCCAACCGAAAACGCCGGCGAGACCGTCCAGCCCAACGGACGACGCCGGCGAGGCCGTCCAGCCTAGCCGACGGTGCTGGCGAGACCGTCCAGCACAACCGAAAACGCCGGCGAGACCGTCCGGCCTAGCCGACAACGCTGGCGAGGCCGTCCAGCCTAACCGACGATGCCGGCGAGACCGTTCAGCTCATCCGACGATGCTGACGAGACCGTCCAGCCCAACCGACGACGTCAGCGAGACCGTCCAGCGCAACCGAGAACGCCGGCGAGACCGTCCAGACTAACCAACGATGCCGTTGGGACCGTCCAGCCCAACCGACGATGCCGGCGAGACCGTTCAGCCTAACAGACGATGCTGGCGAGACCGTCCAGCCTAGCCGACGATGCCAGTGAAGTCGTCCAGCACAGCCGACGGTCCGCCCAGCCCAACCGACGATGCCAGTGAGACCGTCCAGCCTAACCGACGACACCGGCGAGACCGTCCAGCCCAACCGACGATGCCGAGTGAGGCCCGTCCAGCACAGCTGACGTCCGCCCAGCCCAAACGACGATGCCAGTGAGACCGTCCAGCCTAACCGACGACACCGGCCGAGACCGTCTAGCCTACCGACGATGCCAGTGAGGCCGTCCAGCACAGCCGACGGTCCGCCCAGCCTAACCGACGATGCCAGTGAGACCGTCAAGCGCCGATCGGATTGTTCAAAAGGACCACCATCAAACACGCAATTAAACACAGGTTACGCGGGCTACTCCGACTAGCCCGAATCCCGCATCTCATGCCGTTTGCGCCACCACAGCTGCTCCGGTCCGCAGGCTTGTAGCCCCGCCGTGCCATCATGCCGCATGCTGTCAGTCGGTGCCGAGCGCCCGCCTCCAGTGACGTCACAGCCGCTGCCGCACGTCGACATCGCTGCACTGTCCTGTGGGTACTCACTCCCAGGTGACCGGTTAGAGGGGGTGTCGTAGTTGTACCCCGATTGGCTGCGCTGCTGTTCGGAAGGCGGGGCCGAGTAGAGGAAACCGCCGGCCGTACGCTGGATCGAGCCCTGATTGGCGCTGAGCTCGGCGGCCTTGAAGTTGATTGGCGGCCGGTCCCGACTGGCCTTGGGCTGGGTCGGCGATGGGCGGGCGCGGGCAGCGAAGGGCGACTGGTAGCTTCGGGGATTCGATGAAGACGGGCTTTGGGCGTCGCTCTGCCTGAGGGCAAACGTCGGAGCTGTGGCATGAACATGGCAAGTGGTGACGGCGTGTAGAAGAACGACGGACGATACCCGTAAATCTGTCATCAAGCCAATTCCAATCTACGGCCCGTCAACACTGTCGTCATCTGGCATGATGTTGAGTACAAGAAGCTGAATGAATCTCACGAGCGAAAAAGCAAGGCCCGCAAAATCTAACTGTTGCAACAAAACGTAAGCCTCTAGAGCGCTGCATAGACGTGTACTTTGAGCTACTTAGTTGAGCTGTAGCCGGCTGAGATTACAGGCACAGTATTCCAGACTGGGTTTGAAGGCACCACTGTTATGCAGACGCACTGCCGTGGTTACAAAGATGGCTCGTTTGGCATGGGCGATCAGAGCCATGATTGCAACACGGCTCCGCACCCACCCACGTGGAAGCGTCAAAAAAGTAGATGCGTGAGAACGCAACACTCAAGGAATCACAACGTCCGTATGAAAGAGCGATGCAGCACAGCTTTTCCGTACAAAAGCGATTGCATTTTCCGCGCTACCAGACAAAAACAAATGGTGCAGCCAAAGGTAAAAGCTGTATTCAATGTATTGTATGTCAATGTACAATGTATCGCTGAATATCACCACCCAACATGTGCCTGGAAACCCCAAACAGATCCCAGGATCCCATAAACATGGCACTCCATGGTATCCTGGACCCACTCTTAGGATCCAGGCACATTCCTGCCCACCAGCAAGTCGTTCATTTTCACGTTGATGCCTCCTGTTTAATGCCGCTGCATCATTAGTATTGCTTTTTGGTTTCCTTGTTCTTCAAATGCAGCACAGAGGGATATTGAACAGATGACCTGACTTATTGGTTACGATGCTGGCGTCGTTCTCACTTTAAACGTTTGGAAAAGCGGCGTATATGCCTCACCGGCATGGAAGGCAACGGCGAGCATGTCTCACTTACGGCGGTGAGCTGGTGAGCGTGTCACTGTTCTCACTGACGAACACCGACGACAAATCGTACTTCCAATTGACCAGAAGCCGCTTGATGATTTCCCTGGAATGATATTGTGCACTGTCAGCTCATCATGGTGCTGTAATCTCTCATTGGTTTTCACGAACAGACGGAAGCAGGCTACAGTGAAGGTCAGTTGATTGCCACGACCAACGAGCTATTTACGTATGGGGTGTCTGTTTTCTCTCCGTACTCCACCTGTTTGGACAGAGCATGGACGAACTCTTGGTAGGTAGATGACATTGCTCATCTGGTACGTACGGAAAAGTTGGGGATTAGCTGGGGATAGAACCTGGATCCCCGCTTTCGCGGCAACTGTCCCGACCACTAAACTACGTGCGTACTACCTCTTTTATTCTCTTTTGCGTTCTGCCCCTTCTCACTTGCTCCCTTTCGCTATAAATGTAAAATGCATTGGAGGGATGATATGAGCCAGCGAGCAACTGTATTAGTTTTCATGTTTTGCGTACCTGACGAGCAAATGATCTAGCTGCAGTGTGGCTGTTCAAAAACTGTTCTCAACGCTGGAGCACGAAGAGAACAGTATCATACCTGACAGTCTTGGCTGTAGTTTTAAACTCGAGTGAAAAACATTAACTTAGCGCACCTTTGTGTTCTTGCGACAGACATAATTTTTATGAGTTGTATAGTTTTTAGGTTTTATAAGCTTGTGTAAGTTTTAAAATGCACATTTTATGGTAGGACCATAACAAATCACACAAAGCACGACAAGAAGCCGAAACGTGGGACATTTATGGGACACTTATGCAAAAGTTTGTATATGCCGAGGCATTCTAACAGGTTTGATCATCTGAACCTGACAAACATTCCGTACATCGCGATTAACGGAACACTTGATGACAGCTATAGGGCAACAGATGACAACACAAGAGCGATACAAATCACCCAGGCAAATGGGCGTACAAGGACAATCGAGGACACACAAAAGTATTGTTTTTTTTGCTGAGGACGAGTGTATTGGTTGAGTTGAAATGCTATCTAATCCGGAGGCACATGCGACGCACCTGCCCCTTCTGATGGCCACGTTGGTCTGTACAGGTTAGCGTGCGCCAAGTGCGGTTTTAGGTGGTCCTGGATTGGACCTGACCACTCTGCATTCTATGCCGCCAGTTTTCAGGGATCTTTTACCTGACAGCATTATTCGTCGTCGATATAGGATGATTCGAGGCATATCATAATTTGTTTTGTTTTGTTGGAAGATTTTCGGGGTTTGGATGCTGGTTGATAGCTTGGTTAAAAGGAATGTTTCACATCCAAAAATATTGAAGCAAGCATCAGCTATGGTGAAATAAACTCACTTTACATTACTGGTATGCTTTTGAATTGAAAAGAATGTTTAGGACAACTAAATTTCACTACCTCGTACATATGCTCCTCAGTACGTTATTGTTTGATTGCATCATGAAACGTTTGCATCACGCCAGCAGTGCTACAAAACTGGCCGTGGAAAATTGCCACCCTAACCGACACACTGACTCACTTGTAGTACTTCAACTTGCCAATAGATACCGTTGGCGGTGCTGGACGTGTTTGCTGAAGCAAAGATTGTTATGTACTTGTGTTTTGGCCCTTTTCGTGGTGTTGCAGCATAACTGTCCGTGCGCTTAAGGTGCTGACCTGTAGTCACATTTTCGATTAGGGCACTACTCTTAAACTGAGTGTTACACATCTGTGTGGGTTTTTGAGCTGAAATAGTCATCTTGAATGTATTTGGTACAGGTCACAGCCTAACCTTTATTGACCCGGCATTGACTGAGGGGGGTCAAATCTGCCCCCCGTCCATTATTCGTGATAATTAAAAAACGCCTCGAGATATCATTGTGAAATTTTTAATAGTTGTCAGTTGAGGAGTTATATGCATTGCGCCGCCATAACAACTGTGAAAAGATAGCAAATCAATCATTAGGGATGTCACAGTGACGTCATGATTGCCGTTTTTCACAAAAGCACACAGCCAAATATAAATTGACACACAAGCTGAACAAAAGTATATATCTTACATCCGTTAGCGAGAAGTGTGAGCCAATAGTCCATCATTCATAAGCCTCATCGTCGTTTGTTTCAATGTTTGTTAAACGTTGAAATATTGGTATACCAAATAACATAAATATTCGTGAAAAGTACACTCAATATTTTCTGGTCTCATACCCAAAACTTTGCAAACAGGAAAATAGGTGCCCTAGACACAGCTATGAAGGGTGTGTGTACAAAGTTTCAAGCAAAAATTTGAAGTAATGACTGAGCTATGGCTTGAAATGAATCACAGTGCATGCTGCCCGTAACGAGGCGCCCGGCCGGCGGCGGCGAGCGGCGGGGCTCAGCTCTGCCGCACCGACACGTTGACTGGGCGGCGGAAGTCGTTTATCAGTTAGTTTCACACGCAAACCAACGACACGTGACTGGCGGCTGCGTTGAAGGGTGTCAGGTAGCACTATCGGCAGGACTGGACTGTCGAAAACAACGCGAAAATCGATCAAACCGTTTATTCACCACCGAAGTTAATTATTTGACCTTGACCCTGGACGGTTTAAGAACAGGTAACAGCTCCTGCCCATGTGTCTTATACCCATAATTGCGGCTAAGCTCTGCCACTTAGCGTGTAGATGGCTCAAATTTCATGAAAAGAAATATACCAAAATGTGCTTATAAGTGAAATGTGCTGTGGAAGCGGTCGGATATTCCAGGGAAAATTTCGTTTTATTTGACCTTGACTTGTGACCTTGATACGCACCTAAACTCAATGTTTTGTATATTTTCTTTGTATGAGACTGCACGCCATGGCGCCATCGATTGCGATTTAAATTTTTGGATACGGCCGACGTTTTGTAAAATGAGCAGAAGGTTCAGATCTGCCCCCTCCGGTCAATGGTTCAAGTCATACTTGTGCTTAAATCAGGGGGTAGATTTGACCCCCGGTCAATGCCGGGACAAGTAGGGCAAGGCTGTGAACTGCACCTAATGCGTTCAAGATGGGTTTTTCAGCTAAAAAACCCATACCGATGTGGAACACTCACTTTAACAATAGTGTCACTATCGAGCATGTGAACACAGGCCAGCGCCTTAAATCCACGGGCAATTTTGCAACAACACCAGGAGAGGGGCCAAAATATGGGTATATGTGTAGGCTATAAGTTCATTATTGCTGTCGCCCATAATGGTGTTTAGGAGTCTTTTTTCATATCTCCATAATTTTGAGTGTGAGACCAAAAATGTTGAGTGCACTTTTTATCAATATTTCTGTTGTCTGGCATGCCAATATTTCATTGCATACATTAAAACAACACAAGGATAAGGCATATAAATGATGAAATAAATTGCTCACATTTTCCTTTTACATATGTTAAAAGTGCTCTTTCGCTTGGCTTCTGTGGCTTCTTTTTTTTGCCTACATCTATACGCTTTTGTACAAAAATCTGCAAACACAACGGCACTCCGACATCACTGACTTTGAATCTATCATGATCTTATAGTTGTCAGTTTGACACAAGGTGTAGAAGTACTGAAAATTTTGCAGCGACATTCAAGGCATTTTTAATGATTACGGTTATTGGGCGGGGGGAAGGGGGCAAATTGGACCTCTAGCCAATGCCGAGTTAAAACACCTCACAAATGTGGAGCACCCTCTGTGACTTAAGTTAAAACTAGCCTGTGTATATCCGTTGCTTTGGCCTTTATGCGCGATATGGTCCGTACTGCGGTGGATGGCCCGTGATGTGGATCACAGGTCACCGTAGCTAATGTCTTAGAGTATTTCTAGAGTTTTTTTGTGGGTCTTGGATGTACACATGTAAATTGCAAGGATATGTCAGAGTGCGTTTCTTTTATTCGAAATTTGGTGACGCATGCGTTGTCTGCAGACCGTGTCAAGAGAACGTCCAAGACTGGATAGCACCACGTTCATCCTGCCGTTCGGTTGAACAGTTCTTGTGGATGGTTGGGGAGAATTCCTGCGGCATCAGAAATAAGTGTCGCCTTGTCTTACAGGAATTGCACGGGTGTTCTGATATTTTTCAGTCAAAGTCTTGTCAAACAAATGATCTAAAACACTTTAAATCTGAAGATGTCGGACACAAACATGGATAAACTGGAAGCATTCCAACAATGCAACGTAACTGAGTTTTCCTGTGACCTTCCCAGTTTGCGCACTCAACGATATAGCATCACTTGAACCTCAATGACATTCTGTGGTCATCATAGGTCATCATGCTGTCAAGTCATTGGTCACTAACCCAACCTGACCTTGGGCTTTCCTTTCCCGTGCTATCCGTTTGAGTACCACCATTGTCGTAAATTTGGGTGCCAATGATCTAACTGTAGCACTTTTTTACACATAACAGCGACCTTAAAGTTCAAAATGCATCACAAGGTCACTGACCTAATTTCAACCGCATTCTAAAATACAGTGCATCATGGCTGATATTTCCCAGCCACATTTGCCACACCAACATCATAATGTCACTTACACGACCCCAACTGGTAACTACCAACCGAACATGTTACATTGGGATAACCATCTCACTAACTTACATGGCCTTGATTTCTGAACCATGCTTACTTGTGTTTCTTTTTCGTACCTCACTCTTTCGATCAGCGCTGGATTCTAGCACCGACATGATATTGCGATCTCAGAAAGGTCAGCATAGGTCAATGACCTAGTTTGAAACTTAATAACAGGCTTTGCCCAAATCGGGTCCAACAGCATCGACCACAGCTGCCAACCAAAAAGCAAGATAGCTAGTTGGCAAATATATGTGTCGTGCAAAGTAAACAGCGAGTGTCTTCGGCTGTCTTCGGCAGCTGTTTTATCTAGCTGCTCTGTCAAGAGACCGAGATGACTTGAGACATAAGCAAGTGTTGTAAAGCGTGCATGAATTACAGAACGACCCTTCTCTCGTCTCTCCCGTCAGCCCCAACCCGAACATACCGGGAGAGGGCGGGATGCACAGCCGAAGCTTGTGCGAACCACTGTCGGTGCTAGGGAGCTAACCAGAATGAATTAGTACCTTCAGGCAATGCTGTCG